GTAAGTGGAGCAAGCGGTGGCCGCCAGCGGCGGGGTCCAGGGCCATTGGGGCCTGGTACCGATCTGCGAGGACGGCGCCAGCTTGGGTAGGGACGGAAGTGGACTGGCAGACGCGCCACGTATCGCTACCCCCTCGTCGCTGCTCGTGCTGCACGGGGAACCAGGCTCCGTGATGTCGCTGGTACCGCTGCTGCTGCACTCGCCGCAGGACACGGCGACGCCACTGAAAATACGTTCACGGCATCGTTAGTTATCTCCTCGATTAATTTCGACGCGGGCAGAACAAATCTCGAGTTTAGCGCTAACCCTGATCTAGTAGAGGACGACGGTTTCGCGAAAAAACGCGGATCGGGGGGGATTTTTGATTAGTTGGCGAAACGGAAAACCTTCTCGGATCGGTGCGTGTGGCAAAGTTAGGCGAAAATTGTTGCGAAAAGCATCGTATATCGTGTCGAGCCTGTTCGCGTTTCGCGGTCGAGGAGAAGCGCGTTTGCTATTTCCGCGATTCGAAACGAATACAAAGATCGAGAATCTTTCGACGCGATCGAACGTCATCCGCGATAATCGGTACGCGTCGTAACGTCCAAGCGGAAGACGATTACGTAAGCAAGCAAACGCTCGGAAAGCGAGAACTCGAATCGATGCGCTTTCGGTATAGCACTCGCGATATCGATCGCGGCCAAAGATCGATACGCGAGTACGTTTTGCCCGTTCCTCGAGAATAATTGCATCGCGTTCGGGTCTAACGCGTGCGTGATACGCTGATCGATACCGACTGCGATAACGTAACGGGGCTTTGACCTTTTTCTCTCGTTCCTTCTCTACGATCGAAAAACCTTCGTGCCCTATTTCGGTCTACGATCGATGCGCCTTTTGGAGAATCGAGTCGTCTCGTTAGCCGCGCGATCCTAAATTTCACGAGGGAACATTAAAGACAGACAGAGAAAGAGGAAGGAAGGAAGGAAGGAAAGAATAAAAGGAGGACACGCGCGGTTGGCGTTTATTCGAGCCGTTCGCTCGATAGTTTTCGCGGCTCGAAGATATTTTCGGAGCAGCGACCGACTCTCGACGTCACGGGAGAAAGAAAGACACTGACCTTTCCACGTTACGATTCCTTTCCAACATTGCGTTTACGCAACGACGCACTCCTCGTCGCCGGAGGAACGGAGGCCAGTCGAGAGGAACAGGGGAGTAGACGCGGTCGTTCGTTAAACCCCGGCTCGCCGAATGACGGTCATTGTGCCAGGAAATTGCGCTTTTTATCGATTCGACGATCTCTGTTTCTTCCTACCTGTCCACCAAACGCTATCCTTAAGCCTTCCGAATCGTTGGTCGAAACCTATCCGAGCGCCGTCTAAAACTTTATCTCGCAAATTTTTTTTCTACGAATACCGAGCTGTCGTATCGACGATAAGAGGAGAAAGGAAGCCTGCAAAGATCGGACAACTGTCGCGCGAGGGCGAATTCTTTCCAAAATCGGCCACGAGATTCTCTTCGATGTTCCAACGCGACGAAACGAAACGCGAGACGCAACGTACAAACGTTTCGTCGACGAGCGATAAAGTTCGGCTCGCGTTACGAACGTGGAAAGAGAAAGAAGAAAACGTTGCGCAGAAACGAATCGATCGTCGACGGTTGTTCGGTCGACGATAAAAATTTCGCGACGAACGAAAGTCGCGAGAAACTCGATCGAATCGGTGGATCTGTGGAGCGGAAACGAAACGATTTTTCCTAAGATCGAAGAGATCGACGCGAGGAAGCAGAGTTGCCGTGGATCACGCTATGTCGATTACGTTGTCCTTGCAGGTGGCTCCTCCGCTCGGAGGTGCACCAAAGCTTTGCTCGTGTATTCTTCTCTGTCTCTTTCTTCGTCGTGCTTTACCTACTTCGTCCGCGTTATCGTGTTCGTCTTCTTCTCTACGCCCACGTTGTTTCGTTTCTATACGCGTTGTTTGTTTTCCCGATCGTCCGTGCACGCGCGCGAGATCGATAGAAAAGCACGATAACGCTGCTTCGACTTTCGTCGCCTTCGAGATCTTTCTTTTCGCTGCGAACGACGGAGACGAGCGACGGCACGTGCAACGGGGCCCCTGGTGAACGACTTTCGAAGGATCGCTCTCCGTCAAACGAATCGTACGCGATCGTTCGTTTCATCCCTTCGTCGTGGCCCTTCTTTTCCTTTACGCTATCCTCCTCAATATTTTTTCCCAAAATATTTTCGTTTCGAATTTAAACGACTTTGATCAACTACTGTGTACATTCTCTTTTTTTTTTTTCAAGTAAAATATCTTCCCTTATCCGCGTCCTTTCCTTCCTCGCTTCTGATCAACGGCGCTCTTCCTTCTTCCAACGCCGAAGCGTCCTCCGCTTTAACCTTCCTTCCTCTCTGGCATCCCTTTATTCCCTCCGTGTCTCGCGACCTCTTAGCCCCTCGACTACCCTCCTCGTATCACCCTTTAACCCCCGAGTTTCCTCCGACTCTCTCTCGACAGATAACTACGTCCCTGTTTTATTTCGTGGCACGACCCTCCCTCGTCCACGGTCCTCTCTTTCGTTCCTGGATGGAAAACCATCCTTCTAATACCTCTACGCGTCCTCCCTCTCTCGCTCTCTCTCTCCGGTTTCCTTTTTCCTTCCTTCTCTCTAGGCCTTTCCTCTCTCGTTTATGGCGTCGTTCGTCCTTCTCTCGCCGCTATTCCCTTCTCGCCTTGCTCGCTCGTATCGCGGTCCCTATTTTCCTCTCTCCCTCGATCGGTTCCTCCGCTTACGAGTACGTTCCCCTCCTTCGTCAACAGGCCGTGAGCTTCGAAGCGCAGCGATGGGAACGATACCCTCGCGCGTGACCTCGCCGTTGCTCTCCGATTATCGATAACGCGCGACATCGATCGATCGATGTGTGACAAATTGAAACGCGACAAACGCTCGACAGGGACAACGTTTTCGCGAACGGACGTACGCGAATCTAGCGACAGAGGAGAAGAATGTGCCCTGCCGTTCTTGGCAATTTCCAACGCGTCGCGTCGCTGCCGCAGCGAAACGTGACTTACGTGGTAAGAACGCGTTACGGTACAGGTTATCGAAAATACGCGCTGTTGCTCCGACTACATCGGCGATCTCTTTCGTTAAGTTTTCGTTTAAAGGTTCAATTTAAAAGAGTGACTGGCACGATAGAAACGATCGAGCGTTACGAACGCGTCGTAATCGCGATCTTTTCGACGTATCGGAAAGCCGCGTCGATTTCGTAACGACGGTGGTAACAGAGTCCGATCGCGCTTAAAACAAATTGCTCTTTCGCTGACGCGTAATTTCCTCGCAACGTCTAATACGTATTCGCGTATTCTCCAGTCGTCCGATGTATTTCCTGCGATCAAAGCTGTTGGCGCGACGATTACGCGCGGCTTTTTTGCTTTCTCGCGCATTCTTGCGAACAGGTTATCATTATACCGTACCGTTATTACTAAATGAGCTTAGAAAAACGCAAACTAACTAATCGCGCTTGTTCCCGTTGTCCGACTTGATCGACGACGTGTCTGGAGTCGGTCCCATCGCTAGAGCGCGTGTGCGCGCGCGCCTTCTTCTCCTCTTTGTTAGACGCGTGTCGGGAAAACGGTGTTTCCTCGTCCGTCTCCTTCCCATTCGCGCGCCATCGTTTCTCGTCGACGCGACGCGACGCGACGCAACGGCGGAAATGCATGCTCACCTAAATACCTCGAGAGTTATATTCACAACTAAAACCAACCACGTAGTCGGCAGACAACGAATGATTGCGTTTCCTCGATGCGAAACGCTTCTTCCTCGTAAACGTCCTACGCGTTCCTACGCGTTCCTTTCTGAACCGCTTCCTTTAAATATCCACGATCTACGATCTTTTCGGTTTACGATCCAGAATTTCGAGCTAACCGTGATTCCAACGTTTTCCAACGAGATCAGCCATTTTATCCTTCCCCGTTTCGGGAAGAGGTCGACGAAGGGTCGTCGGCCATTTTGACAACGGCCATAGCTGCCGTTCGACGATTCTATTCCTGTTCCTCCCGAAAAGGGAAAAACAGACGTCGCATCGTTCGATTTCGTTTAATTTTTCATCCGACTACGCAGGCGTGTTCCTGAAATTCTACCCTCGATAATCCCGTTCGAATTTTAGCCCAACGTCGCGAGAAGAAAATCCCCTTTTCTCGAGGATAATCCCGTAAGCGGAGGGCTACCGAATTCGATTCGAAGCAAAGTTTCGGACGAGAACAGAGGTCGCTAGGGGTTGATGGACGCGTTCTATGGTCATCGACGTTGCGTTACTGACCTACGATCGTGCGAACGCACGATATCGACATATCGCGATTTCACGATAGGGTGAAAGACCCGCTAAATTTGCAGAGTACAACTAACAAGTAAAAGAAGGAGAATAAGTAGTTCGGGTCGCTTTACTGTTGTAGGTTTTCGAAGGAGTGGAAAACCGATTAGTCGATATCGTCCGCGAGCAGTTCTATACGCGTTGTTAATCTTTCGCGAACTGCGACGCGAAATTAATGGGAAGTCGAGAAAGCAAATTCGGAGTGCACAGAGTTCGAGTTACCGTACGATCATTGACCTTGACCATTTAGGAAGTTTCTGGGAACAAGGGTCAAGTTGATCGACAACCCCTTTCGGTCAGTCGAAACAACAAGTGGGGTTGCCTCGAATTATTATTCATCTTCGAGGTAGGTACGAGCATCGGCTTTCTCGAGTACGAAAGCAACTTTCGAACAGCGAAAAAACATATTTTGGCAGGTCAGTCGAGCGGTCAAAGTTCGTCGTACGATTCGATTTAAAAATAACCAATCGCCGAAACTGATTCGTGCGCAGCTTTCGATGCGAACTCGTTCGATACGAGCTTCGAACAGCTGTCTTTTCGCTAAAAAAAAAACACGCCACCCCTAGACGAAGGGTAATTCGAACGTCGTTTCTGCTCGCGATAAACAACGGGTTTGCTAGCTCTCTCGTTGGCTCGAGTGGACGGTGCTCGAAACGAATATTTAAATGGTTCTTTAGTAGAGGTAATATCGCGAGACGACTTCAGACACGATCTCGCTGAAAGGAGCGTGTTTGCTCTTTGAATCGTTGTACTCTTCGTCGAGAGGAGAACCACCGCGGGTTGAATCGGTGCTTGTTTGCCTCGTGGGAAACGTTCGATACGCTGAAATACGCGACGAAAATGTCGGTAATTTGGTTGACCGGCTAGCATCGTAACGA